GCACTTCGAAACAGTGCTGAAATGTTGGATTTTTTTTTTTGAAGGACTGGTAGAGAACATGTTTTACTAAATTGCTCTTCACAGATGTGTTACTGGAAGTCCAGTTTCTGGCAGAGTATTTGCCAAGCTGTAGCTTGAAATTTCAGCCAACACAGTGTAGCAGAAGCTTGTGAAATTCCCTTTCAGCCACTACATGATTTCATTCTTCTTTAATATTGGAGAGTGCTTTGTAGTAATGGTTTGACGAAAAAAAAAAAAAAAAGGATTCCATACACTTAGGGTTAAAAAAAAATGTCTAACAGGTCGATACATCTGTTCCTTTAAAAAAACACATTCTCCATTTTTGAGACATCATAAATATGTAAATGAGGGCTCTTTAATTACTGCCTAGGGCTATAAACTCACATGCTAGAGGGGAGGGAAGAAGGAAGGCAAAGAATAATTCACTTTTTTTTTTTTTTTTTTTTTTTAAGAGCGAGGGAAATTGGGTCTTTCCCTCAGAAAAGACAGCAGAAGAATGGGGCTTTTTATTGCTGAATAACCAGAAGGTGCTGGGAACACTTCTTTTTTGTTTATCCTTTCGGATGGAGTTAGCATATAAAACAGTAGCGGACGACCTTTCTGGCTAATGTGTGCACGAAACAGAGGGGATTTGTTAGGAAGCACCCCGTACAATTCCCTCCTCTATCCCGTTCTGTCAGAGCCTTTAATCCCGATCAGCAACATCCCCTGCTGTCCCTCGAGCCGCTTGCTGTGTCTGAATCTTTGCATGCTTTCTAACGCCGATGCACCAGGGGTGAGCAGAAGAGCCGGCAAAGTCATTTTCACTCGTGACCTGATAAGCGCTCGGCACTTAGCTGAGTGCCAGTCTGCTCTTACTCTGCCCTGCCGGCCTTTCTGTATCTTGAGCACCATTATTTTCGAGTAAGGTGATCTTGCTGCTACTTTCAAAACAGTATGAGATCAGCGGAAAAGGCACTTTGGAAATTTCAGGATGTGGATGTGCCCATGGGGATCTGGACCGGTGTGCGGTCGTATCGCTGTAGTAGGTGTAGCTACTGGAAATGTAATTGTGCTGATATTTTTCTTTCAGGCAAAATGATCCGGTGTCAAAACACTTATTCTGCCGTGGTAAAACTTAAGATCCATACGATAATTTTCACTTTCCAGGTTTAATCTTTTAATTCTAGCTGAGGTCTATGAAAGAATAATTTCCAGATAATAATGGTTTCCCACTAATGAGCTCCGCTTTTATTATAGCAAAAATGACTTAGGCCCAGTATGGTCACTGTAAGGATTTTCCTGTTTGATGCTCCAGTGATGTGTCTGAGAGAGAGGTAAAAAGGAGTCTGGAGTGTATGAGGAGGGATCCTCTAAATGCAGAGTAAGCCTTCGTGTCGTTGTGTGAGGTGAGCCCTCCTACCTACAGCTTGGGCTGTTTGGTTCAAACCAACGTGCCCTGGCCAGGGGCATGGAGGGAGCAGTGGTGTCTCTTTAGGAGAAGAGGGCAGATGAACTGGGCTGGGGAGGGATGGGGGCTGCCTGGCAGCACGGGGCCGGGGCAGGGGAGGAGGCACAGCCAGAGAGCACAAATGGTGTGAGAAGTGCACGGTGGGATGGAAGTGAAACGCTTCAGGCTGCCAAGGGAAGGGTGAGTCAGAGAGCGCTTTTCAGTGGGAGCTACCGGGTGTTGAAAGAAGAACTATTTTCAAGGCTGGATTTGATCAGCTTACAAAAGATACTGATTGACCTGTCTGGAGGAGAACGGGGGCTCCCCTTGGCCACCAGGTGAGCTTGTTTGACAGTCTGTACCCTGCCCCTCCACAAACAGCCTTCAGGAAACCTCTGCGTGTGGGAGACGTGAAAATTTGGACAAATACAAGGGCAGGCTGCCATTCAGGTAGCTAACAGCAAGCCTCATTTTTGCTTACGGTTAACTAGAAGGCGCAGAATTGGGGTATTATTTTACATACAGTCCATGAATCAGTGCATAAGATTCTTGGCGTGAGTGACAGTACACAAAGGCAAGTTACGATCATTTCTTTGTGTAAAATCTCTCTGCAGTCTCCCAGCCCCAAAGTATTTTGCCGGGAACTCCAGAGGCAGCTCCTGATGTGATTAGCCCCATCTCTGAGCACTGCTGTATCTGGCTTTACTTGAGAATTGTGTTTTCTGGCAGTGTAGAGTACGGCGATGTATCTGTTGCGTGGGATAGATGCTCTTTTCAACTTGGCTCCCTGTTTCTTTATGTGGCTGCATGTTAGTGAGGAGTTTATATTGATGATGCCAAAAAAATACAAAAATTGCGTTACAAAGTCAACCAGAAATATGGTATTTTGCTTGTTGGTTCATTAAGCACAAGTACCCCGACTTGTTTATTAGAAGAAAAAAAATAGCTTCAGTTTGCATTTCTTCAAATATTTCACCAAAAATCCTATGTGCATGTGTACATGTTTGTTTTCAACATGCTCTCCTCCATCTGTCCTGATGGTCAATTAAAATGCAGATAATGTGTCCCAGCTTGTAAGATGGATCACTGCTGAAGTGGTGTCATGTCTGGGCTAGCTTATCTCTTGATAAATACCTCTGCTGTCCACTGAGAGATTAAACTTCACGACTGCTGAGGTTTGTTTGGGTATATACAGGCAGATAAGACTGTCTTACTTGGTTTTAATAAAATATATCAATTTACATTTACTAAAGAACCTTTGGATGGTGTTTGCTATGGAGAAGGTGGCAGTGGCATAATCAAACGATAATAGCGGTATGTGAAACAGCCTTTACCGTTTCCTAAGTATTACAATTTATTGACAGGAGTGCTTTGCTGAACCCTCTTGTCTCTGGAGTGGGGAGATGAGGAGCCTGAGCTGCTGTTGTGAGATCTCATTTAGCTGTCTAGCAGAGAAGATTTCTTTCCCTGAGTCTAATCCGGCAGGAGCCATGGAGGAGCGTTATCAGTGAGGCTCAGAAACGTGGGGTGCGTGGGATGCCGTGCCGCACAGGCTGCCTGGCCATGCAAGTACCAGCCGTGTCTCCCAGCAGGAACCTCCTGCGGTGGGTGCCACAGGCGCTTGCTGTCAGGAGGTGCTGTGTCACGAGATGTGGCAGTGGCCAGCATCTCCGACATGACAGGGACCTGGAAAATTTGCTGTCTTCTCAGAGGAGAGCTGTGGCCAGCCCTCTGAATAACAAAACTGCTTGGTGCCCTTGGAGAGGCTCACGAGGGAATGGTTCCCGTGTGAGCCCAGCACCCTGCCTGTGCTAGCACGGAGTTGTAAATCAATACAGGGTTTGGATGAGGATTTGTGAATCAGTGCCCACGGCTCGCTCTTGAGCAGGAGGATGGTTGGACTGTGCCGCTCTGTGGCAGTACAGGGATGTGGGCATTTGTAGGCAAAGCCTGGTTTCATGTTCCAGTGTGCAATATTTATGGTTTCATTTCCATTATAGATGCCAGGAAAGTGATTGAAACAGGCGAGTATACATATGTATGTGCGAAGCATCTCTGTGCCCCTCACTGAGAAGTGAGTTCTAGGAAAAAGCACTTAAATCTGCTCAGCTTATTAAGTGCAGGCTGGAGTCCCATGTGATTCTGCCTAAAACATAAATAAATGGAAGTTACAGTGCAGAGGGGTTGGTAATATGAATTATGGACTGACACTGGTGATTAGTTGTTGGCTTTTCTCTGTATGATCTGCTGTTGAACTGCTATAGAAAAAGACAGATGAAGGCCTGGGAGGGAAGAGGCGGCAAGGGCGCTCACTTACACTCGCCTGTGTTTCTGTGCATTGCTCCTGGTCCAAACTTGAGTGGGATTTCATCCATCCCTACCTCCAGGGTGGCAGAGCTGAGCCCTGGGCCAAGGGTGAGGTGCTCGGCGTGATGCCCACAGCCCGGCGTCCTCCCTGCCGTCGGGTATTGCTCCCAGCTGCAGGCACACAGTATTACCCCATTATCCCCACGTGTGAGGTGTGACACGGCGTGGTGAGGCACCTGGCTCAGGAGAAGCACTGGTGGCTACGCTGACAGGGCCGGTCCCGACAGCCTGTACTGCCCGCAGGCCGGCACGATGAGCACAGCTGGGGCCCGGGGGACCGCGGGTGTGCTTTGCAGATCCTCCGAACTCCTTGCCATTGCTCATCTGACGATTTCCTACAGCTGTAGCAACACAAATTCAGACTCCTAATGCCACTCTGAGCCTTCATTTCCATTTTCTAGTTTGTTTGTTTTTTAAAGTCATAGAGAAGCTTTAATTTGCCTCAGGCTGCGCAGCTTTGTAGAGATGGGACTGAAGAACAGAGGACATGTTTATTCAGAAGTAGCAAGTAGCTTGTTCAGCTACAGATAGGAGACCCATTTTTTCAGGAGGCAGGAGCTGCTCAGCCCCTTAGTGGGAGACCCGGCCCCTCTCTCTCAGACACGGGGTCCTGCTGGGAGGCTTGACTGAGTCATGAATCCCAGTCCCTGGCTCGCTGTTGCCGCAGCCATTTCACAGGGTCGTTAAATTGATCTACTAGATTTAATATCACAGGACAGTCCGAAGCGTACCTGTTGCTTTTTTTTTTTTCTTTTCAGTATACAAATCCAGAGCCTGCATATTATTTAAGAAAAAAGAAAAGACATGTTTTGTGTTCCTTTTAGCCTTATAATACTTGTACCTGATTCATTTAGTATTTATGGGAGGTGTTTTCTCCTAGCGGAAAATGAGGAAGAATCCCCATATTTTTGGCCTTGCAAAACCTAGACAGTCATTATTATCATCATTATTATTGTTGTTATTGCTATTTTCATCTTGCAGCGTAATCAGGAGTTTCTTGCGGGCAGCCTTGCTGCATTGCTTTAGTGCCATTTGTGTTGCAGTTCTGTAACAGGGGCCTTGTCTGCACAGGATCACCTGGAAGGTTAAATCTCCAGTAGATCTCAGGGTCACACTTGCTGTAGAGCTGATAGAAGTGCACAGATTGTGCTCAGTGATCTTTATTGTCCTTTTTGTCTTGCAGATCGAGGGATTTTAATGGCTTTCAGGTAGAAGCCAAGTGGAGACAATCAAAATGAACTCTATGGACAGGCACATACAGCAGACCAATGACCGGCTGCAGTGCATAAAACAGGTAAGCTGAAGGTGGACATCATTGCTGCTAGAGCATTGTGTATTGTGTGGCAGGGTGTATTGAGCATTATAGTTTCCTGCTTCCTGATGAATATCCTGGCCCTTTTGTGGGGAGGAGACCTTAAAAGCTAAACTTTCCATTTCACCTTTCTGAGGAACCATCAGCCTAGAGTTTCACTGATGCAGTAAAATTATGTTCACAACCTGTTTTTCCCCTGTTGCCTGAGCAGTTTTCTCTGGCCAGCTACTTTGGCCATGAAATATTTAAAGGCTAGAGTCCTGCTGTTTCCATTTTATATTTGTATTAACCAAGTTAAGAATCTCCCTGACTGCTTTTGCTCTGGGACAAGTGCTTTTTTTTTCTTGAGGGAGTGCAACACTTCTCTGTTCATAGATTTCTGTGTGCAGTGGATGCAAAACACCCTAAATCAAAGGAAACGGGTTAAAAAAAAAAAAAAAAAAAGCACATGGGAGTGGTACTGGCTTAGTATAGATTTCTAAACTTTTTATCTGTTTCCATCCTCTTAGCTTCAGCTCCATTATGTTTTGTCATGTTTGCTTACGTATTAGTAGAGGTTTATGATATCTAGAATGTGTTTTAATGCAAAGAACAGTAAAAGTGTGTTTGTTTGCAAGTCTAGCCATACAGATGCTTTGGCAGGAGATGAAAGAAGAACAGTTAGTACTGAAGAACAGTTAGTACTGAAAACAGCTGATTTTCCTCACCGTGTTTCCTTTATATTAAATGATTTTGGAATAAGTCGAATAAAGGTAGTTCATAGGCCAGGGAACAGAAGTAGGAATCAATCCCTGCAGAACTGCTGGTCATAATCCAGCCTTGGCCTGGGTGTGTAGTGGCTATTTTTTCCCCCTAAATCTCTCTCTTTTTCCCTCTCCCTCATCGCTACGTGGTGAAAGTTAATGCATCTCATGGTTCTTTAGAGGCCCAAGGGAAATGAATTTTGGGATTTCATCCCAGTTCCTTATCAACTGTCTGGTTCAGAAAAAGCATGCCCTTGGCTGGCACAAATTGGTGCCCTTTTTGGCCATCCTACCTCAGAGGATGAAGAATGAAGTGACTTGCAGAACAATTTAACCTTCCAGCTGTAAGAACAAGCCTTCAGATCAAGTGGAGACAAATGGGGAATACTGCTCAGTTCCGTCTTCTAGAGCTGACGGTTTCTGTACATAGAGAATTTGTATTATTTTAATAAGATAAAAGAATATCAAATTACATTTCTTACAGTATTAAAGAGATATTTTTGTCTATGTAATGGATGCTCTGTCAGTTAAACCACTAACTTCATTTATACATAGTGCTGGTTTACCCAGACCTCTAGGACATATTTCTTTGAAGAGGAAGGCAGGGTTTTCCACCATTCATGGAACATTCTCGATTTTGTTTGATCCTGTCTGGAAGCTCAGAGGCTTCTGATGGACAGGGCGCTCGCAGTTGCTCTGTTCTGCTGACAGCACAGGATGCCACATTGGGGAGGTATCCTACCTGGCTGTGGCTGCAGCTTCTGGCCCTCATTTCCTACAGAGGCCGAATCAGTGAGTATCAGTGCTTTTATTTTCAACTCATGACAAAGTGTAGGTAAGGAAGCCAGTGGCTGACCACCAAAAATATATGGCAGAAGCTTTTTTGTGTGAGTTGCAATATTTGAGGTTTTGTCTGAGAAGAATGTTTGCTTTTTTTTTTTCTTGAAGAATTTAGCATAAAGATTCCTCCTTTTTTTTTTTTTTTTTTTAATAGTTCCAAAATCTTGTGTTGTTATCTTTGTTGTAGTGGAGGAAGGGACAGAAAACGACCCTGACTAGTTTTTTGGAGGAGACTCTTCTGTCATATGGTCATAACTTTTTGGGTTGGAGACATTTTACATTGTTTTCTGAGACAGGTGATTAGCTGGTAAAATTCATGTAGCGCCACAGCAAGGCATTGCCAGTTCACCCACACAGACCTAGATTACACACTGTTAAAAGCACAGTTCTTGGTCTGGGGAGCGAAGCAGTACCTTGCATGGCCCTATCAATATACCCTCACCAATTTGGGGGGATTAGCAGCAGGGTCAGACAAAAATCTGCCTGCATTTTCTTCCCCAGGCTTTCACCCTTTCTTCCCTTCCGAGCCTGTGAAAGAAACGCAGTGCTGCCCTCCTGAAAAGATGTGTGCTTGCAGGTGGGTTAATGCAGCAGCAGCATGGCAGGTGCACTGCAGTGGGGGCTAAAAGCCACCCTTCCTCAGCGCCCTGCATCCACCCATTTGTCCCCCTTGTTGGCAGCGCACAGCACATGCAGTCAGACCCCACGCAGCTTGTGGCCCTGTGTGCTCCTCGCCCAGCCCCGAGGAACCTGTGTGTCATGCACATGGCTGTATCCCAGCGCCTGGTGAACCACATCAGGTTGCAGCACAGGGGCAGTGCCGGCTGCTTTCTTCCAGCTCTCTGGCTCGGGAGACGCCCACAATGTCCTTGCTGACTTCTCTTTCAGGATCAAGGTTGTGTTTTACTTTTATCTTTTTTTCAGCATTTCCCAACTACAAAACCAAACCTTGTATATGATCAGCTAGTTAGGAAATGAAGGGTGTGTGTGTTAAGAACTGTTTCAGAGAGATGAAAGGGCAAACTGAAGAGGTGGCTGTGTATTTACGCTTTAAAAAAAAAAACACAACACAGACTTCTGTGGAAGGCTGGAACAGCTTGTGTGGTCTCTTTGTAGCTGATTCCCTCACTATTTGTAAGTGTATGTGCTTTAAAATCAAACACATTTTTTCAGTGTTCAGGGGAAAAAGCCAAAGTAACAGTCTTCCCGTAACACATGCAATTGGTTTGTCCTGACACCAAGGACTCTTCAGGGTACGCTGAAGGAAGCTGCATCTTCAGGGTGTAGGCTGTTTCTCCTGGATATTTTTTTTTTTTGTCAATGCAAACCAAAATACAAAAGGATTTTGTGCTCAGCAAGAGTCAGAGGTCCCGGGAGCAGGCCTGCCGGGCTGAGGTGACAGCCTGTTCACACGCCAGGGCCCTGCGGTAGCACCCAACACGGGGATGGCGGCACCCTCACAGAGCCAGGGCCCAGGCACGGCCTTCTGAGGGGGCGGGCCAGCTCCTGCCTCATAGCCAGCCCCAGGGAGCTGACCCGTTTTCTTAACCTGTTCCTCACAGCTGAGCAGTGATGAGGCTTTATTCATACATGATCCGTTGTTCTCTTTTTGTGATATGAGCAAGTACCAGCAAAATCTGTAGGTTGCAGGCCGCCCCCTCTCCACTCTCCCCCATGGGTCCAGCTTTCAAAGCTTCAAGCTGTTTTAAATCTGGGGACTTTTCGATTTGTTGTCTCTGTTTGCTGGTCAGTTTATAAGGCTCCTACACCTCTCCTGTGATATTCTTGACAAGAATTCCTGTTAAAAAAATTCCTAAAATCTTCCTATTACTTAAGTTAGTAAGAAGTGACCCCTTTCAGATTAGGCTTGTGATACCTTCCTGCTGTGCTAAGGGCAGTCGTCAGGGCAGGTATTAGAGCTGTGCTAAAATTGTGATAACAGGTTAAAGGGAAGTATGTGCAAGTGTGTCAGAAGTATTTGGCTGTGGTGTGAGCAGAGAAGGCTGCTTCTGTCATGTGTGACACATTGAGCAGTGTATCCTCAAAGGATGCTGGATCATTTAGTGAACCCAGCTTAACTGGAGGCACACGTCACATGGCTGATTTCTAGGAGGCGATTAGCATTTCTCCCCTCTTTCCCTCAGGAAGGCTTGTTGAATAGCTGCAGTTGCGATGCTTTATAATGCCTACCCAGCCATTCAGAGAGAGATGCTAAAAGTTGTAATTGCCATGTGTTTGCGTTGATCTTTTCTCTCTCAGATTGGAAACAGACAGTCCCATTTCTTTCATTATTCAGCAACTTGGTTTTTGGTTGCTCACTTGCAATTCAGAGGAAAATAGAATTCCCTGTATATTTACATAACTGTTAGCATTTAAGCCCTGAGATGTTTGAACTAATCCTTCTGCTTTTCAAAATTATTGTTGCAGACTCATGTAAATGCTCAGCAGTCCTAAACATGTCATTTTAACATATTGTGGATGGGTTAATATAGACAGATATGAAATTACAGCTGAAAAAGTTTTAATAAAGCTTTGTGAAATTTTCATTCTTCATGAATTTTCAGAATTGGCAGTCTTCCTATGAAGGGCGTATATATTTAGAATACATTTTTTTTGGTTGTAACCCATACAAGTGTTACTATTTTTTAGCAGCTATGTATGAGATAACATATAGCAGGGAACCTGATGGTGAAAAAGATTTTTCTTTTCAATTAAGAACATGATATTCAAGGGACCTGAAGTGTTGCAGCTTATTGGCTGAATGGTCCATAGATGCCATCTTGATAAATATATACTTTTTTCTTTTTTCTTTTATTTTTTATCTTTGTCTGCTTTCTTGCTCAGTCTGTTGGAATACTCCTCTCCAAGAGTTAAGTATGTTTAGGAAAAACTGACAGCAGACCAGCTTTCCTGGCTCCTCCAGTCCACTTGCAGACCTGTCAATCAGCATTCCTGCCATGTTAGATCCTGCATCCCGGTAGGCGACTGTTCTGGCTCAGGCGGTGGAGCCACAAGGGAAAGAGCAAAGAGACAAAGTGCTGGAAGCACTTCTAGTGCGGGGAGGGGAGAAAGCACCATCTTGATGCTTGTAGCATTTGTGTAGCTTGCTTATCGGATGAGATGGCTGAGTTCATAAGATTTCAGTGTCTTGAATGTAACCCACCATCTTCTGAGGCAGGCTGGAGAAGTTAGGGTGGGCACAGTTCTCCCCTTCCCAGTCCTGTTTTTGTTTTATTGCAGCACCTGGCCTCGAGGGCAGAGGCATTGGTATTGTCAACTGTTTTCAAATGAAAATGCACACATATTAAATTTACATCTAAAACTGATGGTAGCCATAGTATTTAGATTAATTTTAGTTTTTCTCCTGTGCAACTAGCTAATCAGGCCTACTGCTTAAAA